TGCAGGTCGGTGAATCGGGCGGGCGCGATGGCATGATGACGTCGACCACGGTGGCGACATGATGAGGAGGGCGGTGACCCGCGATGATGGCGACAACGACGGCAAGGCCAGCGATGGTGCTGATGATGGCCACGACTCTGGACGGATTTGGACATGCGCTCGCGGCGACGCGCGACCATGTCGCCCGCGTGATAGTTTTTTGCACAATATTCGCGCCCCGGTGCATGACAGAACATCGCGAGTGCACCGCGCGGCGTGATGATATCGCTGGCTTTTTCACGAAATCATGGAAATCGTATAGTTTTCTGATGATTTCAGCAACTGCGCGCGGCCAGGAATTCTGAAGATTTGTGATGACAACTATAAGCATTTTAGGTGTTTATGTTGAAACGCATGCAACACACAATGCATTTGATAGGATTTTGACATGAAAGCGCGCGTGTTTTTTTGTATTTTTGTGCAAGGGATTATCGGCGTGGACGACAGGACGTCCATGTTGAGAGGACAAATGACGAAACATGTAGATGTTGTATTGTTTTTTCGCATGTTAGGATGGCACGTCCAGGATGGGCCGACTAACGGCCGGGGAGACGGGGGAGTAGGATTATACGTATTCTAATAAGGGATAAGGATAAGCCTAGCAAGGAGATGGAGTAGGAATAGGGTGGGCCGTTCGCGCGACGACGTGGAAAAATCAATCGGTGCTGGGGGGGGACCCCCGCCAGACGCCCGAAGACAGCCGAAAGATCACTCCCAAGAGGTTCGAACCGCAGAAAACATTGATTTACATTGGTTGTTATATGATTTTGGGCTACTCGATTATTCTGTCTTCTGGGCGTCCGAGAACGCCCGAGAGGCACCGAAAACCGCTCCAAGACGACCAAAACAGGATTCCTGACAGTCCATGAGAGCCCTAAGAGGGCCCAAAAGGGCTCAGAAACTGCCCACAAAGGGCCCCATGACGGGCCAAAATTGTTCTAAGACGCCCTCTATAAGCATTCAAACTGTGACCCGAGACCACGATTCGTGGCATGGTGGCCCAGGGACCCCCCCAGAGGCTGCCAAAAGGCGCCAGGGACGTCTCCAGAGGCTCCCAAGGAGCCCCTGAAAAGCTTTCGCGAGGTCCTCCAGACGCTCGCCTCGGAAGAGCCTCCGCAAACAATTCTGAGGAGGACGGGGAAGAGCTCACGGGGCAATGAAGGCGAGAACGAGGAAGAGGAAGACGACAAATGAGGGAAAGAGGAGGAACAACAATGTAATAACGGTGACGGCGAAAACTGCAACCAATTGCAATCACTGTCTTGGTTTATCTACCTTTCTCTCTCTCTCTTTATGCCTGCATGTTAGACGTGAAGGACCAAGACTGCATTGGCGCGAAGCGCCAATGCAGTCTTGTATGTATGTATATATATATATATGCACATATACGCACATAAAGAGAGAGAGAGAGAGAGAGAGAATAACAAAGAAATCTATATATATATAGAAAAAGAGAGAGAGAGAGAGAGAGAGAGAGAGAGAGATATCGGTCTGCCAACACCATGGGCGGCTTCCATCAATGCGGCAATTCGACTGATGCGGTCATTGACTTCCTTGCGAAAGTTGCTCAATTAGTCAATCTGCTCTTCAGGTGGCGGCTTCTGGTAGATGTGGGCAATGTCATGCGACTTTGCCAATTATGACATGGCTCGCGGAATCGTGTTCGCGATAATTCTTCATCATGCCATATTTCTGTGTGTCTTCCTGTCTGCCTCTCGATGCCTCCCGCCACGTACGCCACGGTGCCGAACCAGATAACGAGTACCAAGTGCATCCACATTGACATGTTGACTGCGTTTGGGAATCATGACACGCTTTCAAGACAGGCACATCACCGCTTTCGGAGTTCAGCTTAGACTTCTGTGGACTTCGGGGCGCGAGCAGGACATTGCACTCTTTATGATAGTTTGTGGCAATTTTTGGGGAGGCCCTCGGAAAGCACCCGCGCGCGAGAATACCGCGAAACCCCGACATAACCCCGACGTTAACAAAAACAATGGTTTCAAACACCCGCGCGATTCTGCAGAGGTCCCGCAAAGTTCCGAGCCCGACATCGTATCGCCACGGCACTTTCGGTACGCCGATGAAGGTCCAACGTCGACCCTCTCGTCATCATCGCCGACATGTCGTCGTTGTCGTCGTCTTCGTCGTCTTCGTCGTCGTCGTCGTCCTCCTCCTCCCCCCCATTCCCCCCCCTGCCCCCAGGAGGAGGAGGAGGAGGAGGAGGAGGAGGAGGAGGAGGAGGAGGAGGAGGAGGAGGAGCAGGAGGAGCAGCAGGAGGAGCAGAAGGAGCAGGAGGAGCAGGAAGAGCAAGAGGATGTTTGATGTTCGTGAGCTCTGGATCAAGTGCAAGCTCCCGCTGCTGCGCTCTCCCTGCTCGGACTGATGGTGTCTGCACCTGGCCAGGCGAAGGACGCCTCCTCCTCCTCCTCCTCCTCCTCCTCCTCCTCCTCCTCCTCCATCTCCTCCTCCTCCTCCTCCTCCTCCTCCTCCTCCTCCTCCTCCTCCTCCCCCTCCAAGGCCACGGACGGCTCAGGCCCGCGGATCCCTGCGGCCTTTGCCTCGCATGGCCTCCCCCCTCTGCGCGCCGCCAGGCCGCGAGGGGGAACAAGCCCGCCGCGCTGCCGGCGGCGGCGCCGCGCACCGCGAGGGCGGCGGGGCAGCGGCCGCCAGCGGGGCAGGAGGCGGAGGGAGCAGCAGCAGCAGCAGCAGCAGCCCAGAGGGAAGGTTTACGGGGTCGTCATCGTGGCTTTCGAGAGCGTCGTTCTTAGGATGGAACCCTTACATGATCATGCGCACTGGACGTTTGGAACATATCGGAATTGAATGCGCACGATGCACGGCGGTCTTGTTAGCGGGCACCAAGGTACCCATGCGCGTACATCAAGCCCATCACTATGAGCGCACCCCTGAACACCACTGGATACACTGGGGCTGGGGACGGGGCTCTTCAACCAATGCATCGGCTGGCGTCACTATTGGTATATCGGCTAGACAATACCAGGTTCGTCACATCATTCGCATTGCTGCACCCCCCCCTCACTTACAGGGACGAGCAGGTAGCGTGGACATCGAGCGTGGCCCTCAGCGATTTCGACTTGTAGTTGGTTATTATCCGCCACGGGTTAGTACGGCCAGAAGGCTACCACACTGGAGGACGACCGTTAAGCAACTCACGCAGTGGATCAAAGAGCAGGTCGACAGTACCCCCGCGAGAGTTATTCCAATAATTTATGCTGACCTTGATTTACCTATGGGCCTGAAGGGTAAAGATCTTATTGATGACGGAGTTATGGGTCCCTACCAGGCGGGTCAGGAAGATGAGATGTCCACGTTCGTTCGCAAGCAGTACAGTGCCAGCCAGTTAGCCTTCCTCAGCACACATCATGACCTCGGACCCAGTTATTTTGGCCATAAAGGATCTAAGAGTCGTATTTACTATTTTCTTGGACCCAAGGAGCTTTTGCATACTGATATTCGTATGACTATGTATTGGCATACACAGAGACGTCTACAAGCACTTACCCACATGATCGATCATGTTCCTATGTACTTGCAGTTTCGTGTCCCTTCTCCGTCACCACGCACGCAGCAGCAGGGATGTACGTGGGATTGGGGAGCATTAGCAGCGTCTTTGCAGAAGGGTCACAGGAGGGAGGAGTTCATGAGCAAGATCTGTGAGTCTTGGAACCAGCATCGCCCCCTATGCCGTGCACTTACTATGGACGGGGAGCCCACGAGGCACGCGGGGGTCGTGGCACAGATCATTCGGCAGGCTGCTGCTTCGACTTTTTCGGCTGAGAAGTCCACCCCCGAGTGGATCACCGAGGCAAAGGAGGAGAGGAGGAGGCTACTACGACAGCGAGCCGCGATGCGCGACCACGGCTTCTCCGTCTCGAGCGAGTCGCTTCGTCGTATCGATCATCAACTTCGAGCGCATCGTCGGTGGCAGGAGAGGTGGAGGAGGGAGTCGCTCGAGCAGGAGATTCGGGAGGCGTGGGAGGTACGAGACCAGGCACGAGTCGGGTACCTTACTAGGCTGTTAGCAGGCACAAACATGGGACCACGTAAGAGATGCTACCTCGCCCTCCCCACGAGTCGTCCGAGTGCTGAGGACTTCAAGCAAGCCATGGGAATGCCAGCTGTTGACGGGGGCCTATCGGCGCAGGAAGCTCACATGAGCAAGTACTTGTTTCCTGAGGCCATCCAGGAGCTCCTTGTGACCCCCCTCGAGCACCTCCCAGCGTTTGGGCCACGTCTTTCCCTTCCTACCTTCGATGACTTCGAGAAGGCTGGGGAGGACCTGGACTACATAAAGAAACGCAGAATGCGCAGTACGCATCGACGCTACTCTCCTCCTTGGTCTTGGCCAGTTGAGATCACCAAGCTGTTGCTATTCCCTGACCTACTGTTTCGCCCTGGGCACTCTAGAGAAGGCCTAGGATCCACGTGGCGCCGACACGATCCCGACTTATTGAATTTCGACGCAGTCACCGATGCTACCAAGAACCAGAGAAAGATCATTATTGACTCGGAGTACGCACAGGTTGGGCACGACATGTTTATCCAGCTGTTAGCACACATACGCGCGCGTGAGCTTCTTCCTCAGCAGGCACGAGTTAGTCACGCAGTCGCTATCAGTAAACCTGGTAAGTCACCCACAGGAAACAGCGTCACCGACATCACTACATGTTTAAGGTTATTGCATTGCTTTTGTCATTGGTGGCGAGTGTTACTCAGATTCGGGCTTGTGGATTACGGCAGTAAGTTTGCCCCCCCTTCATGGGCATACGGTGGCATTGTACACCGGCGTAGGGAGGGGCTCATGGCTAGCGTGAAGATCACCATGTGGAAACTTAGGAGGTGTCATTATTACTACTTGGTCAAGTCATATGACATGCGCAATGCTTTCGGCACAGGCACGCACGAGCGATTGTACGAGGCACATAGACTACGAGGAGTGGACGAGCACTACGACGAGCTGTTAACGCACCACAGAAACCCGGGTATTCTCTACTATCAAGCACGGGACGGTGACGTTACGCTCCACCCCACTTCGGGGGGAAGGATGGGTGATTCCAACGAGCCAGAACTATTTATGGATGCCTTCTACCCCCTGATCGGCGATTGGCAGCACGAATTAAACGACATCATCGGGGACAGTCTTATGTGAACATGCCCTTTCCTTGATCAAGATGAGGACGGATCTTTTGGAGGAGTCATCGACGACTTGATCAGGATTATTATTGTACCTTCGGGCACGGTGTCAGAAGCGTTGCAACTAGACTATCTGGATAACAGCATTTTAGATCACCACTTACTTCAAGGCGGGTATGCTCAGCACGTCGCTAAACAAGAAACCTTAGTTCATTTGGCACACGTTAAGGACACTAAGCAAGCTGAGGACCAGATCTCGGGACGCCCCAAGACGAACTTGATTCACTTAGGCGGGTTTATTCATGTACAAGGCAGTAACAGGAAGGAGATCGATACACGTATCCGAGCAGGCGCCATCGGCTGGTGCAATTTACGACAGTATTGGTTTTCCCTCGGGACCCTGGCGGAGTATGCGCAGCACATTCTTAGCTAACGTAGCAGGACGAGTTTGGTCGGGACTCGAGGCGTACGTCTTGACGCCTAATGAGTTAAAGGATCTCGACACATCGCTGGCGAAGAAGCTACGGGCAATGTTACACGGACGCGCGCATGTTGAACACGAGGACGGCACACACACACACACACACATCTTGGACCACCAAACAAATCTTCCGCGAATGGCAGATACCACCCACTGGTGTAGAATTAATGGTGCGACGACTAAGATGGTGGCAGTCCATTGCAGGGAACCCTACGCACCACAGTCATTACTTGAGCATTTTCTTCGGAGAGTATCTCTTTGAGCAGCGAGCGAGAGCAGCAGGGAACGAGGTAGCAGATGTCACGATTCTGCCCAACGGGGAGCTTAACTCTTCCGCCAAGGTTCATCCCTGGGCCCTCCAATTCTTCCAGGACTTGCAGGTTGTTCTCACTCATCCGATCGGAGAAGAGCTCACGGAAGTCTGGCAACCCCGTACTATGGAAGTTTGTTTCGGAAATCCCGAGGTCGTCGAGGTTTTCAGAGCATGTGATTTTCGAGCTTTGCGAGCAACGATTCAGGCCCGCGAATGGGCTCCACCTGAGTTTCTCCTGGAAATGATGCCGAAGGAGGAGGAGGAGGTGGGGGACACTGAGAGCGACGAGGCCGAACTTGCTCCTCTTCGGTGCGGTATCGAAGGATGTCGGGCGAGATTTGCGACGAACAGGGAACTGGTCAAACATCAGATTCATGCGACCGGCCTCCCTGGCCACGGCACCCCACCGATACTGTCTGTGATCACTATTGACAACAAGTGTCTTAACTGCCAAACATTGTTCAGCAGCATCGACAACACAAGAAGGCATCTCAGTGGCGCATGGAGAGCAGGTCGTTGTATTCCACACCTCGCCCGTCACCGTCATGATTGGATTCCTTCTTCTGCCACGCGATGCTCATTATCTGATGAAACGGATCGCCCAGAGTGTCAGCAACGGTATGATGGCCCTGAAGAATTGAGGGCACACCTGGCGACCCACATCCCACCGACATCGGAAGGGTTTCGGCTCAAACTTGCCCAGCCACAGCCAGCACACAGTGCCCGCCCCAGCGCGAGCACAGCGGAGGTGCGTCCTCCGCCACCGTGCGCCCCGAGGCGAGACTCGCCTACCGTTCGCGCACAACTACGAGCAGGATACCTACGGCTTGCTGAACGGCGACGTGAGCGCCGACTGGTACAAGCTGGGCACGCTGTACGGCGACGTGCGAGCACACCACCCCCTGTTCTGGCCGCTGAATGGCCTGCCGACTTTCCAACAAGACCATCGCGGGTAACAGCCGCGAGTACACCACTACTACTTCCTCGACGGCAACCAGCTGAACCAGCACCTGATGGCGGCAGCCGCGGGGGCAGCAGGAGCGGCAGCCGAGGCGGTAGCGCCCGCGGCGCTAGGCAGACCGAGAGCGACGTGGAGGACACCGGTGGCCTCCTCCCAGGCGTCTGGCGGATCTGGAAGAGGATCGAGCAGCGCAGGCGCGGGGGACAAGAGCGAGAAGATCGAGAAGATCGAGAAGGACAGCAAGGCGCGCCGCAAGGGCGACAAGGACGGGGATCAGGACATGGAAGAAGGGAGCGGAGCCGCTCCCTCCGCGGGCGCGGGCAAGGGAGGAGGCCGTGGCAACGGCAAGCCACGCCACCGCGGAGGGCGACGTCACCGCCGTGGAGAACACACCGAGAAGAAGTGGACGAGCAAGGACGCGAACATCCAGCAGTGCTTGGCCTCGGTCTGCAAACTGGTCTTGCAGACGACCCAGCGCCAGAGGCTCACGATGGCCACGGTCGTGGACACGTTCACGATGCCGAAGACGCACGTCGTGATCAAGCAGCTCCAGGCGACCCTCGAGGAGTACCGCAAGATGGTGCAGGAGGCACGCGAGAAGGGCGCAGAGGAGCTGAAGGCACTTGGCAGCCCGACCGCCTCGCTGGCGATTACCCTTCTCGAGACGCTGCAGGGTTGCGACGTGGGCGGCCAGATGAAGAAGCAGCTGGGCGACTACCTGGAGGCCGTCGAGCCCCCGCAGGGCACGCTGGCCACCGTCACCAAGGAGATGATCGAGCTCGACGTCCTCGCGGTGAAGATCGAGCAGCCCCACGACCAGAGCAAGGCGAAGCTCCTCCTCGCGGCCCCCCACTGGCCCATGCGCGGAGTGGTCACGCGGGCTTTCCTCGCCGAGGGGGAGGCCGCGAGGATGACGGGCGTAATGCCCCCTGGCTGGCTCGAGGACGAGGTGGCGAGCTGGCTGGACGTGCTGCAGGGCTGAGCCGACCGATCCGCTTCGTCAGAGGCGGCACGATCGAGGCAACGATCCACCCCTCAGCCAGCGCGACACGAGAGCAGGAAACTACTAGTGAGCACGATGCCGATGAAGAGGCAGCCAACTTCCTCTTCGACTGAGACTCGCAATTTTTTACTGCACCCTGCTCTCTCGCACCAGCATGCGGCCCTCCAGGGGCGACACCTACACGAGATAGAATGAGATAGAGTGCACAGTGACAGCGGCTTGCCTATGCACGCCCCCGCGTTGTTGCGCGAGGGCGCTCGCACCGAGCCTGCGTGACGGGACAATGACAAGGATCGAGTGCGGTCCTGCGACAGCTCGCCTGATACGATGTACACGTTTTCCTCTGCGGCAATGGGCTCATTCGTCGTGTAAAAAAGTAGCTCCTCCCCCTCCTCTTCCTCCTCCCTCCCCCCCCCTCCCCCTCCTCCCACTCCTCCCCGGCGTTGCGGGGCTCACGCCCAAGAGATCTTGATGCCCTGGCTGGGCCCGAAAGTTCCGAGCTGGAACAAGGAAGCGGCTGACTATCCGTTTTCCGATTCAGCCTTAGAATTCTCCGTGGACTGCGGGGTGCAAGCAAGACTCTGCGCTCACACGAGAGTTCGCGCCGGTTTCTGGGGAGGCAATCGAAGAGCGCCCGCGCGCGCGCGAGGAGAGACCATTTCTGGGAGATCCCCTGGCGCAATCACAGCCCCCCCGCGCCTCTTTACAATCGCAGCAAAAAGACCGGCGCACGCGGGTCTTGAAATCTGGGACCCCAGGATCGTTCCCATTTTGCGTGATATCAATGTACACATATATATATATATATATATATGTGTATATGTATGTACAGATATGTAAATGAAATATAGTTAGCAGATCTGCATTGCTAAATCGGGGTGCCGCAGCAACCCTACGAACAAAAACAACAGTTCCAAATCCTGCGCCCTTGCGCGGACGTCCTGCGAAGCTCCGAGCTCCACATGGTGCGGCCGCGGCACTTTCGGAACGCCGAGAAAGGCCCGTTGTCGACCCTCTCGTCTTCATCGCCGACAGTTGCCATCATCTTTGCTGCTCTATTCCCGTGAGCTGTGGCTCAAGTACAACCTGTCGCTGCTGCGCTTCCCCTGTTCGCGACGATGGTGTTGGGGGGGCACGCCCAGGAGGGGTTGTGGGGCTCACGCCTAAGAGATGTTGATGCCCTGGCTGGATTTGAACATTTTAAGCTGGAGCAGGAAGGCGGCCGTAGGGATGCTTAAGAAGAAAGGTGGCGCGCCCGAGGACTCCGACAATGGCCACGAGGCAAGCCCTGGAGGCGCGCGCGCGCCTGTGCGCCTGTGCCAGGCCGGTTCAAGAAGTAATGATCTTGGTCGCGGCCACAGCGGTGGCGTCGCTTAGGCTGTTCCCTCAGCCGAGACGCCATGAGCCAAAGTGGTTATGGAGAGTTCCCCCAACTCCTCCTCCTCCTCCTCATCCTCCTCCATTCCTTGTCCTTATGAATAACTTCTCCCTGTCGCACTCCGAAGCTGGTTTTTAGGGCGGGCCAGACGTTTAGCAAGAGACTTTCTCACCATTTATGACCCTGAAGCTTAAACGATGACAAGAGCTTCACAGATGGAGGGCGGGTCGTTTTCAAAATGTGGTTCTCGCCTTGGTGCCGCGCACATTCGTTTTAAACGGATTGAGGGCGACTGGTTTTCAATATGTGGCTCTCGCCTTCGCGCCGCTCACATTCCTTTAAAACATTTGCAAGAATTTCACGGATTGCAGGCGGCTCCTCTTAAAAAATGTGGCTCCCGCCTTAGCGCCGCGTACATTCGTTTTAAAACTTTGCAAGATTTTCACGGATTCCCATGATCAACTTACCAGAATTATGTTTTGGAAGGATTCCGGATTATGAGGGTGCAACAACTACATTGATTCGCGATGTTGGTCCCAGGAATGGCGCTCTGGCACGATTCTGGATCGCCAAGACGCAACACCCAGGTTGATCCGTGGCGTTGTAATCCCAAGAACAATACATTGGCATGTTTCAGGGTCTTCAAACGGTGGTCTTCCAACATGGCAGCTCCCTCCGTGGAAATGACCCGTTGTAGGGGCCTATGAAGAGGGAGCTTGGAGGAAGGGTTTATCCCAAACTCGTTGATGACTCTTGGGTTTGCACTGGTCCTCCTCCTCCTCCCCCTCCTCCTCCTCCTCCCCCTCCTCCCCCTCCTCCTCTCCTCCCCCTCCCCTCCTAATCCTCCCCTCCTCCTCCTCCCCCTCCTCCTCATCCTCCTCCTCCTCCTACTCCTCCTGCCTCCTCTCCTCCTCCTCCTCCTCCTCCTCCTCCTCCTCCTCCCCCTCCTCCTCCTCCTCCTCCCTCGGCGCCTGGAGCCGCTCCCGCGCTCGGCCCTCTCCTAGCTGGGGAGCGCCCGCGGAGCCTCCGGAGGCCAGAGCTCCAAGACGCAGGGCTGGGTCGGCTGTGAGGGGACGGGGGCGGCTGACGAGGGAGGGGCCAATTTGATCGCGCACAGTCGAGGCGTTGACCCAAGGAACCTTAAAGAAGGAACGAGGCCCCTATGTTCCATGAGTTAAACTTCGATCTCGTACCGAAGCCACAAGGACAATCCGAGGGGCATTCTGAGGCAAACTTTGAAACAATCAAGGAACATCGAGCCCCTCCCCAACGAAAAGGGTTCCTTCTTCGGGGCCCCGACTGCATGCCCACAGAGGTTGGCAGCAGGGGTTGGTTGGTGGGTGTTGTGCGTGCATTGACTCTGTTCGTGCCTGTGGCCGTCTTGGCTCCGCCGCGCTCACGGCGCCCCGGGCTCACTGTCGAGGCGTAGCGCTGGTAGGTATCGTCCCTGCCAGGCGGAGCACACGACGCATGAGAGCCACTTTGAAAAGGGAAAGGCATCAACAAAGGCATCAAAAAAGGCATCAAAAAAAGGGAAAGGATCAAAAAAGGCATCAAAAAAGGCATCAAAAAAGGAAAAGGCATCCGAAAAGGGAAAGGATCGCGGATTCTGGAGGCCTGGGAACCGACTCTGACCACAGCAGGGGGTTGCCTCCACCGGGGGAAGGTGATCCTAGATTTCGGTGCCGGTGGTAATCCGAATGAGGGGGCCGAACGGTCATTCACTGTCCCTGGGTGCATGGCTGAAGTGGGAGTCCGCGATGCGGACCCAACCCGCGACCCACCCACATTGTTTTAACAGAAAATCGGCGCCTGCGGCGGGCTCGTTGCATGTACAGCTTGAAAAAGTACGCGCCTGCGGCGGGCTTCTTCAGAGCCTCGCAGACCGCCGCCGCCCCCGCCGCCCCCTCACTATTATCTGCAACTGCGGGGTGCTACGTACTTCGGCCACCGAGGAAGCCCGAATATTACCACCACCGCCGAGATCGGCAGCATCCTCCCTGGGTGGAGGCGGTGTTTGTGACAACCTCTAGGCACTCTGAGGCTCGAGCGTAGCAGGTGTTTGAAGAGCTTCGTCCTTCCTGGTTCCCTGGGCTTCTCTGGAGCCGCTCAGGAGACCTCTGCAGACCTGGCGCCTTCCGGGGGGCTGCTGGAGGTGCCCCTGGCCCGAAGTGACCCAAAGGCCTTCCAGGGAGGCCCCCGCAAGGCCTCCAGGACGCCCCCCCCCGCAGGGCACAGGAGGCCCCCCCAGCGGCGCCTCAGTCACGCCCCCACTCGAGGAGGAAGAAGACATCCACTGGCAAGGCTTGGATTTACACACACACATGCAGTCGGGGCGTTTGACCTAAGGAACCCTGAATGAGGAACGAGGCCCCTTCTTCTCACAAGTCAACCCTCGATTCCCCACGGGAAACCTCCGGAAAACCCAATGCAAAAACTGTGAACTTGCCGTCGCTCGGACGTCCATTGCCCGTGCATTTTTTGGGTCGTGTGCGTGTTTTTTTTGCCCGATGGTCCAGGATGGTCCCCGATGCTCCTCGCCGAGAAAACATGCACACGTCCGAGCGCTGCCAAGTGACGCAATCGAGGCACACCGAGCCCCTCCCCCAACGAACCCAGACCCCCGACGTCATGATTTTTTCATGACGTCGACCCCCCGAGGTCTCGACCCATTCCCCGGGACCGGTTTTTCGTTCCGAGTCGTTTTCTGACGGTCCCGAGGGCCGGCAAGGGCCCCCAGAGGCCAAAAATAGCGAAAAACCTCCCGTCGTGATTTCTTCATAGCTCGAGGGGGTCTGGGCAAGAGGGCTCCCCCGCTCCCGCGCCCCGGCCGTGCAGCCCCCCCGGGGGTGGCCTGGCGCCGCCTCGGCCGGCGCCCCGGGAGCACCCCGCGCCGCGGGGCCCAGGGCGCGGGGCCGCCCCGGGGGCTGACCCGGGGGCCCGTCGAGCCCCGCCGGGGCCACCCATGCGGATCGGGGAGACGCAAGACCCGGGTACGGGGGACTCGGAAATCCCCGACGAGGTCGTCAACAAAAATGACGAGGCCGAGCCTGCATTTTGACGAGGCCTCCCGCGGCAGACCTCCCACGAAGCTCCTCCTCGTCAAAGTCCGAGTCGCGGTCGTCGAAAAACGATGGCGAACCCGAGTCCTGGCAACCCCGGGTCTTG